CCGGGAAAATAGGGTGACCCGGGCGGCCCGGCTGGTAGCCTAGTGGAGACCTGTTTTTTTTTTTTGGAGAAATGCTGGAGAACTTTTTGGTTTTTTTTTTTCTCAAGCCTTTTCTTGGGAAGGGAAGAGATATGGAGTGGGGAGATCCCACTTGCCCAGCCTCTTCATTTCTGGTCGTAGATTTCGAAGATCGATTGCCAGATTAGGAAAGAATGAAATATCCTACCAAGTGGAACCTGGCCCAACGTAATCGCGACAGAGGTGACAGTAGACGGCGACGACGCGGAATTCATTTTGTTCGTCGTTGGGAGAAGGGGGGAGAGGAGGAGGGGGGGGGGGGGGAAGGGGGGTGAGGAGTGCAGGGTGTGGGCAGGTGTGTGAGTGGAGTAAGGTCCTTCGGAAATGCGTTAATTTTTTCTATTTTATTTTTTTAAATGCGTTAAAATTGGAAAGATACAGAGAAGATTAGGAAGCATGGCCCTTGCGCAAGGATGGCACGCGTAAATCGAGAAAGGATGACACGCGCACGCAAAGAGATCTGCTGACGCCGAGGAGACGACCTCGCGTTAGCCAGATCTTTCGTCACAAAGACTCTCATAAAAAGTATATTTCAGATTGTGTTTTCTTCTTTCTTTTTTTTCTTTTTCTTTTTTCTTTTTTTGGTTAGATTTTATCGTTTAGTAACCTGGGCTACCAGCGCGGGGCCGCCCGGGTCACCTTGTTTGACCGGGCGGCCGGGCATGCAAGGACCATAGAAGATCCCAGCGAGAAAAAAAAAAGAAAAGAAAAAAGAAAACGAAATCCAAAATTCTGAAGAAAAACAAATGTTATGCAGAAAATAAACTGAACAACTTTTTTTTTTTTTTTTTTTTTTTTTTTGAACGAACAACATTTATAAAAGCTGGGAACCGGGCCCAGGGAATAAACAGCAAAGGACGACGAAAAAATGGGGCGCGCGTGAGTGCCAAACGCCTGAGAGGTGATGTCACAACCGGCTATGGCAACATAGTCGATTGTGACGGCGGCCGCGATAACGTTCTATCTTATGCTGTGCTGAATAATTTTTTTCGAGATATCTTGTGCATTATCGCTGTGATTTGCGGCCATGTGGGCACGTGCGTCTGGTCAGGCGTCGTTCTGACTACTGCTGCTCTCATCAAACGCATGAGAGGGATGTTCAGCTCAGAAGGAGAAGCATGAAAATCGAGATCGTTAAGGAAAAAGCGCACCTTAAAAAAAAAAAAAAAAAAAGAAACCGAAAAAGAAGAAGAAGAAAAGAACAAGCGTGGAAAAGGAGGTGGCAGAGCAAGCATCAAACAAAGAGGAGATGGCAGGAGGAGGAACATTATTAAAAAAAAAAAAAAAAAGGGCAAAAGGTAGACTAAAAAAATATAAAAATGGAGAGAGAGAGAGAGAGAGAGAGAGAGAGAGAGATGGCAATTTAAACAAGGGAGGAAAAACCGGGAACAAGAAAAGACATCATCACCGTGTGCAAACCTGGAAAAAGAAAAACTAAAAGTAATTAGAAAATTTAAAAAAAAATGTACTCGGAAATTTCTATCATCAAGAAAACAAGTTCGATGCATGCATGCACGTAGTCAATTAATTGCATGGAGTTCAATAAAGAAGCTCAAAAAGTGCATTCATTATCGTCAAAATGGTGAAGGTAAAAATGCATGCATCCATGCATGCACGTAGTCAATTACATTTTGTGCTGAACTTTGCTCCCAATTTCACCTCCACATCCCTTCACACCGCGGAACCCCCACCATCCTCTGCTTTTTCCTTTTCTTCTTTTCTCGTTCTCGTTTGCTATCATTCTCCCCCCCTCCCTCCCCCCCCCCCCCCCCCCCCCCCCCCCCCCACCCCCCCCCACCCCCTCCCCCTCTCCTTCCTTCCCCCCCCCCCCCCCCCCCCCCTCTCTCTCTCTCTCTCTCTCTCTCTCTCTCTCTCTCTCTCTCTCTCTCTCACTTTCTTTCTCTCTCTCCCCCCCCCCCCCCCCCCCCCCCCCCCCCCCCCCCCTCTCTCTCTCTCTCTCTCTCTCTCTCTCTCTCTCTCTCTCTCTCACGTCCATTATTTTCGAGATGCGGCCCGTCATGGTCATCATCATCATCCATAGATTCCCATACTCACTACAGCAATTGGCCACCATCCATATTCTTTCTTTTGCCAGGATCATCAAGTCGCCGACGGTTTTTTTTTTTTTTTTTGGTTTCCCAAATCAAGTATCGTCGAGGTAATCCTACAAGTTGCCGGCCAGGCGTTATCATTAAATCAGTAAATAAAGTTTAAATGAAAATCATCATTGTTCTCATGTCTCCGCGCCATCATCATAAGGCTTCAATGACCATAAAAAACAAAAACAAAAAAAAAGCGTCACCAACATCAGCATAACATAGAGGAGGAGGAGAAGGGGCGACGGTGATGCTGATGCTGATGCTGATGCTGATGCCGATGATGATGATGATGCTGCTGATGCCGATGATGATGCTGATGATGATGATGATGATGATGATGATGATGAGGATGATCACCATCATCGCTTTATTACATTTCTTCTTCCTTTTACTTCATTGGCGTAATGAGTTGATGAAGATGATGATGAAGATTTCTTCATTTTGATATAATGAGGACGGAAATGGAGATGATGCAGAAGACGAAGATGATGACTACGAACATGGATGGAGATGGAGATGGAGATGGAGATGGAGATGGAAATGATGGAGATCGATGAAGACGGATGGAGATGATGGAGATGGATGGAGATGATGGAGATGGATGGACGTGATGGAGATGGATGGAGATTATGGAGATGGATCGAGATGATGAAGAAGACGATGAAGCCATGGAGAAGATGATGGGATCCTGCGGTAGAAGTCATCATGCTGATCACTTGTCAATCATCTGATGAGTCAATTTCATCTTCCTTTCAGGCCAGTGCATGCTGGCCCACTGGCCTGAGCGCAACCACCCGAGTTCCAAAGAGAAATAAAAACAACAGAGACTGCAGAGAAATAAAAAGGTCGATCCGATCCCCTCACTGGTTTGAGTACGACGACAGGCACCTCCTGAGGCCTAGCATCCACCCTCTACTACAACATGAACCTTAAAAAAAAAAAAAAAAAAAAAAAGAGAACAGAAATTTGAAAGAAAAAAAAAACGCTGCCTGTCGTTGTAGGCTGCGCTTTTAAAGATCCGAGTGTAAAAAAGAAACGGCTAAAAGCAGAGGGAAAAAAAAAACAAAAAGGAGTAAAAAAAACCAAAAAAAAAATCCTGTCATCGGCCAACACTCACGGTCACCACCACCTAATTCGTCTTCAACTTCTTCTTCTTCTTCTTCTTCTTCTTCTTCTTCCCAACGATGGGCCGTCGATGGCCTTCGCAGCGCAAGCGATCCATTCAACGTTATTATAATCTAATTAAGGGAGGCTGCTCCTATCACCTCCCTTAGTGAGGCCCCTGCCCCGAAGTTTTCAACAAACAAGAAGGAGAAGAAGAAGAAGAAGAAGAAGAAGAAGAAGAAGAAGAGTAGAAGTAATTCGAATCCAGCTGGATGTGTTCCAGTTTTGGTGGCCATCTGCTCTCTCTCTCTCTCTCTCTCTCTCTCTCTCTCTCTCTCTCTCTCTCTCTCTCTCTCTCTCTCTCTCTCTCTCTCTCTCTCTCCCCGCACACACACACACACACACACACACACACACACACACACACACACACATTACGCAGGTTCCTGCCGTGCACTCTGAGCGATTGAGTGGTTTAGCGCATGAGATGCTCCTGATAGGTGCCTTCCCATAGGCGGGATCTTTGTTCCCTATACCCCCTTCCACCTCACATTCAGCCGAAACACACACACACACACACACACACACACACACACACACACACACACACACACACTCGCACACACAATGTCATGCTTTTTTGAGTGCATAACGAATATGACAACACACACAGAGACAGAGTCGTACCTGACGAGGAATTGAGAGTCGGGCTTCCGTATCCTGTCTATGAGCCGTGCAGGCCGTGGGCTGTGGGGGTTGTTGACCTTGCAGTAGAACTGCAGCGACCAGGAGATGTGAGGCTCTTCCGCCGAACTCGCAGGTTCGGTGATGCGTTCATTGTCGGGAGCATCCGAAGCCGTTCTTACCCCACTGGCCATGCGGAGAGAAAAGGGGAATAAAATGTACAAGTGCCACGCTCCGGCTTGCTAGATGGGGGTGGACGAATGCACCTGCATGAGCTGAGAAGCCCAGGTGCATTCTAACCCGGCTAAGTCATGATCTGCTCCTGGATGTGCATTCTAACCGGGCTAATCTGGTCGGTCCTTCGCAACCGAGACGGGGCACCATTTTGTTTCTTTTTCTTTTTCTTTTGGCTCCTTAGTTTTTCCTAACGGTCTGGATTCTTCTTGCTGGATCGTAGATCACGAGAATCGAATCGACGTTCGCAAAAGCACAAAATCCGGGGATGCATTCCCAGTACTTTCTTCCCCCGAACATAGCGCACCCTCATTTTGGCTAAACCGGACGGGAAATATAGCTTGTATACAGTCATTTGCAGGGTGCGTGATGCTGGGGAAGACTGTAGCAAAGAGGAGAGAATTTAACGCCCGAATATGGAGAGAATTTAACGCCCGAATATGGGCGTTTTTCTCGGAGAGGTGCAGAAGATAGCCGTTGATCTGCTTTTGTTTGTGCATCTTTGCGTAAAACCTCCAATCCTCTTTGCTAGTGGGACCTTGCCCCGGGTAAGCCGTAGCCGTCTCCGGATGGGACGGCATCCGGGCTGGCGTCCCGTGATCGGATGCAGCGGTGAGTAAGGTCTCCCTGGCTGCCCCCTTGTTCTTCTTTTTTGTTTTTTGGGGGGGGTTGGGGTGGGGGCCTGCGGTGGGGGGATGCGGTGGGGGGGGGAGCACCATTTTTTTCCCCCCCTTTGGCCAGGAGTCAGCAGGTAGCGTCAGGACCGAGCTTCATCTGTGTGGCCAGTCGCCGCCATCGGTACCGAGCCTCATCTAAGTGGGCAGTCGCTGTCGGTACCGAGCCTCATCTGAGTGGCCAGTCGCTGTGCCTTCCCTCCTGTCCCCTACCACTACGAACATTAGCAGCAGGGGCCAAGGGTCTATCTCTAGATGGAGGGCCCCAAGTATGCCCAGGCTGGTGCATGAGGTCAGCCGGATTGAACCCATGGCCTCCTGATTGCCTAGAGTGCCTTACCAACTGAGCCAAGGGTTGTCCATGGTGTTGTATGTCGGGTCTTTATACTGCGTGGGTTGCTTGTGGCTGTCGCTCGTGGTTGTTCTGTTGATCTCCCCAGTCTGGCATATCATACACAGGGGCAGTTTGCAATTGTCCCTCAAATGGTAGAGTCTTCAGGTCACATGTCATTGGTCACGAGTTTGAGTCTGGCTTGGGACTTTGGGGGGGGTTCTTGTCCAGCTTGGCCTGTCATCTCTTCAAACGAACATATAGTTCCCTGTACACAGTACTGCACATATCTGTCCCCTACATAGTACTCCACATATCTGGCCTTCGGGCATAAACATCTCGCTATGCAGTTACAGAGCACACATAGCCTTCAGGCAGACACAACAAACATAGCCCTATGGGCTCATAAAAACATACATAGTGTCTGGCCACAGACACAGACACACATAACTACGAGAGGAGCTCCTTGGCTGCTAGGCCTGTGGCGCGCGCCCGGCAGATGCACGTGGCTCCTTGATTGGCCACGTGGTTGCTGTTGTTGGTGACGTGATCGACCGTGACGTGCGGGCAGGGGTAGCGCCAGTCATGAGAAAGATGAGGAAACATATAGGGGCGCAGCTATCTGGGTTAGCGATGGAGTTGGTGGGGGAGACACAACATGGAGATACAACCCTTGATATTGATGATGACGTCTGGTATGGAGAGGATGGTGGGCAAGATGAGGTGGACGTGGTCAATAATTTGCGCAATCTACGTGGATGGGGAAATCGGTGGCGATGAGCAGGATGAAGTAGACGTCGCCGACTGCGAAACTGGCGAGCCGGATGACGAGGACGTCGTCGGCTACTTTGTAGCCATCAATTCAGTATGTGAGGAGCGCGCATCTGAAAGTGATTACCAGGGCAGCGAGTGGGAGTATGGCCTTGGTGATGCAGGCGGGTGGGACGTGGAGTGGGGCCAGATGGCAATGGCTACAGTACCGGTGATGTCAACAGCACACACAAAAGCGACGGCAGTAACGATACCAACAACAACAACAACAACATCTACAATAACATCTCCCGTTGCTGATGACGACCCTCAGCCTCAGTAGGACACTGAAGAGAGGGAATATACTGCCCTCCATGAGGCGGTGAGTGGGTGGGGGAGGTAGGGCTGATGGTTACGGCCGAGATGGTGGAGACGGGAGCGAGGGATGTCAGTAATGACAACAACAACAACAACAACAAAGACAATGATAACAACAAGATGGTTGAGATGGGAGAGAACGATGACAACGACCCTCTGCCTCAGCAGGGTACTAACGAGAGGGAATATGCTACTTTTCATGAGGCAGGCGAGGGGGTGGGGGAGGTAGGGCTGATGACTATGGCTGAGATGGAGCTGATGGGAGAGAACGATGTCAGCACCAACAACAATAACAACAACAACAACCACAACAACGACAACAACAACAATACAGTGACAACAACAAAGACGGTGATAACAACGAGATGGTTGACATGGGAGAGAACGATGGCAACATCAACAACAACAGTAATAACAACAACAATGGTGAGCAGTTTTTGGGGGAAAGGGGCGAGGAGGGTGAGAAGAATGACATTGACAACAACATCCACGGCAACAACAACAACAACAACAACAACAACAACAACAACAACAACAACAACAACAACGACAACAACAACAACAATGACGATAACGATGGCGGCGTCAACCGAGGGAGCAGCGGGGAGGAGAGTGGTATTTGTGTATCTAAGCTCCTTATTAGCCTTATGGGAAAGATGACGCCATCAGCACAGTGGGGGGGAATTCGTAACTTGGTGAGGCTGGCGAAGTGGGGTTTGAGATTGAAGGTAAGACTTGCTGTTCCCCCCCACCCCTACCCGGTGTTTGCTTATGCTGATTCATGTCTTTTTTTCAGGCACCGGGCGGGGATAGGATAGATGACTTCCCTGCCAAGATTAGGGTTGATTGTCTCTCATCTTTCAACTCTTAATCATGATCGGATTGATTGATAATTACTTCCCTGCCAAGATTAGGGTTGATTGTCTCTCATCTTTCAACTCTTAATCATGATCGGGCTAATTAATTATTACGTTTGTTGTTAGATTGGAGCAACTAGGAAACCTGCTTGGGGGGGATGCTGGTATCACCTCCCCTAGCAGCCTTCCCTGTTTTCAAAAAAAAAAAAAAAAAAAAAAAACGTTTGTTGTTGCTAGTGAGCATATGACATCTAGATACATTACTGTATAGGGGATATATGTTTCAGGAGCACGAGGTCAATCCTTCCCCTGTCTAGGAAAGTAATCAATGCCTCTGTTCCTTTCGGTGATACAGGCGAGTCAAGCGCATCTACAATCTGACTGCACACATCATAGTACAGAGGTGCTGGACTCGGTTTCCAGTTCGCATAGAGTACATCAGTTCTGGGGTTTTGCTCCAGCCTGCCTCAGTCCTCAAGATGTGGGTAGAGGGGATGCCCTTTGGGCGGAAATCTTTGTGTTATGCCACTGTCAGGGGGGGGTGCAAATTTGCAATCTGGACCTCCCCGTTTGGGCCTTGGCCGTTTGCAATCGCGCCTGCGAAAAGTTGGCAAGTACTGGGGCATTTTGCAAAGCTGGACGGTACCTGGTTGGGGTATATTGCAAAGATGGGTGTCCAACCGGCACCAGGGGTATTTCACAAAATATTTTTTTTGTCAGAGGGGCATTCCGCTCTATCCCCATCTTTCAGGGGCCTTTTGGCATATATCTCAACTTATGGGGGTATTTTGCAAATTATCCCCAAAAGAAAGGAGCCAGGCCTCTCTTTTTCATTTTTAACTAAGCTTTATTCTTCTCTCAATTTCACCTTTCACTACCTACCTACCACTACTCCTAAGCCTATACAGGGGACCCTTGCAAGCAGAGATGCCTCTCACAATCAAACCACCAGTACCTTGCCCAGCCAAAAAAAAAGTGCCTGCCGGTTAACACGGAGGCTAGGCTAGCCTCGCACCCCGGCCAAATACATCCCGAATCCTTGGCGCGCAGGGCTCGCGGCCAGTGGCTGGGAAAGCTACTGGATGCATGTTGATATGAGCAGGCTGCTCGTATCAGCTTCCCTAGGCCCGCCCTGGCCTTGCCTACAAAAAAAAAAAAAAAAAAAAGGGGGATCGGCTGTGGTCAGGGTGTGGGGTGGGGCTGCTGGCGGGGGGGACTGGCTAACGCAAAGACCGAGCATTTTGCCAGTAGCTATGCATCCTATCTACTTCCCCCACCTCCATGGAGTAACAGCAGTGTCTCTGGCCTGCACTCTTCCACACACCACGCATAACCCACCCACAAACACACACACACATGATGGCCAAAGACCCTACCAATATCCANTGCACTCTTCCACACACCACGCATAACCCACCCACAAACACACACACACATGATGGCCAAAGACCCTACCAATATCCAACGGGGGGAGCAAGCCAACTATCTCCCCCATGACCTCCTGAATTCCACTTGCGTGCCTAACGAACTGAGCTAGGCTGCTTGCTCAGAGCCCAGCCCCAATGTTGCATTGCTTTGTTATGAAAGTCGGAATTTAAAAAAAAAAAAAAAAAAAAAAAAAAGGTGTGTCATCCCCGCAAGGAGCTATGCTCACCTCCAAGGACCTTGGGGCGAGGACCCACCAGCACACAGGACTGGATTAAGCACCTGAATCTGGACAAGTTTTACCAAGAGATGCACAAAAGCAAATAAACCGCTCTTTCTGCACCTCTCCACGACAACGTGGAGATTCAGGCGCTAAATCCAATCCTCGTTCTGTGGGAACTGCGCTCTAGGCCGCCTTTCCTATTTCGACGAGTGGCATTTCTGGGGGGACTGCGCCCTGGGCCGCCTTTCCTACTTCGAC